TCCCTGGGATTGAAGCTCTACTCCTCCAAAATCGCCTCCACTTTCTGCTAACTAACTAGTCCAATATATACGTTCCGTCTTCTTTGTGATTGCCGAATAAAGCCCTGCTGCAAATGTTCCAAAAAATTTTATATTTAAAGACAAACAATCTTTTCGCGATACGCACATAATGACAGCACATTGGGTGATCGATAAATTAAGTAAACTGGAAAATGGAATTCCTGATATCGCGGGCCCGCCGCTCGATCCAAAGTTCCCCCCTGCTGCTGCTGCCCTACGAATCAACCGCACCGGCCAGCGTGATCACCCGAGTCTTCAGCTCGTCGACCTGAAAAATACATATAAAAAAGAATATTTAAATGTAGTCGTAAATATCAATCCCGCTTTAAAAGTGTCTTCTTTTAAACAGTAAGTATTAAAAGCAATTGAAAAATATGCCCCTTCGCTGCGACGGATTTTTCTATTAGCCCAAGAATGCCCAGTAATTTACGCAAACCATTATTTTAATAGTGGTCTGAGTAAATTTGGCTATATCACAAAGAAAAAAACTATCTAAAAATGTCTAAAAATTTATAAAAAACGAGAAATGAAAATTAATTTTACCGTTCATAAAAATTTATCTTTATAATTTTTAGCGCTTATAGAAGCACTTGCTCTATCTATATTCGAAACATTTGATCTTAAAGAAAAATTTGTTCTCTTCCCCCGATAATGTCAAGGCCCCTCAAATCGCTACCGTCTCAATCAACCGCTCGCGCTCCATTCCCTGAATACTCAGCATTTTGAGCAGCCGTCGATTCTCCTCCTCCAGCTCTTTCACCCGCATCTCGGCCGCCTGGAAAAAAAATAATGCATGCGGTTGAGCTCTAAAATTCTACCTTCTCCGCACTTCGGGCCATCACCAACGTCCTCCTCGTGGCCACCAAGCGCTTCTCTTTGTCGACAAGCAACTGGTGCAGCTTTTTCACTTCCCCGATTGTCATGTCGTGGTTCATAGCAGGTTGCGGGAGTTGTGGCGGGACGTCAGGGAGGCCCTAAAAGGTATTTTTCAGAGGTTAAAACTTGATAACTCACAAGCCCCATCAAAATATCCGAAAGTCTTTGCTTCTTCTGCGGAGGCGGACTGACGGGAGCCTCGAGCTTCGTTCGGATTGTGATAAGCTCGGGTTTTGTCTCCGCCTTCGGATCAAAAACTGTCGATTGTTGTGTGGAAGGTTCATCATTTGCCGGGGCCTCTTCTTTAAAATTGCCGAAAAGCATCTGTATGGCGTCCATTGTTGAGGTTAGGCCAGAGGTATCTTCTGAAAAATCAAAATCATGTTTGTGAGGCAAGTTTTAACACATCATTAAAAAAAAGAGTTCACCATTCCGATTTTCACAATACCCCATTTTATTTCTGCCAAATCGACCATATCGATGGGCTAAAATCGGCATAGTGGAAATCGTCGTGGTGAAGATCAGCAAAATGATCTTACGTTCAAAACTAAGTGATTTTACCCACCTTCCTCTTCCATTTCACCTCGATTGTTCATCGAATTCGGATAGCCATCTTGCGTCTGCGTCAAGTGCAAAAACGTCTTTTCAAAGTCTCCCAACGACGAATCAGCCTCCAGGCTCTTTTTGAGGATCTCGTTGAGGGCCATTCCCTGAAAAAAGTAGTTATACGCTCCAAAATCCCACTCTTCAATTTTGCAAATTTCATCAAATTTTCTACCTCTGGCGACTCATTGTACTTCTTCTTCAACGCTTGCTTGACAGTCTCCTCGCCCTCCGCATTCGTCGCCTGGCGCTTCTTGATCTGGATGGCCGTGAACCAGGCGCGCTTGTTCTGCTCGAAATACGTCTCGAATTCGGCGGCATGCTCCGGAAAGGCGATTTTCGCCATCTCGAAGACTTCATATAGGAATTCCTCGTCTCTAAAATAATCAAAACATTAAGAAATCTCTTCATAGAGTAATTCATAGAAAACTTACGTATTATCAATCACATGGCCGCCACCCGTCGACTCGTGCATCCTTCTCACGTGGATCGATGCGCAAACATAGGTTTTCGCCAAGTAACTGCACTCTAAAATGACAATAGACAAGTTTAATACAAAAGCATACCGCTACATTGATATTTTCGATTGTTCAAGTGGATTTTCACATGTTCAATCAGAGGTTTCAACCTGCCGAGCGCTTGTGTATAATTGCTGGGCTGTAGGCGACGATTGCAAACCTAAAACAAGATATTAACCCTTGAAAAAACATAAATCAACGAAATCATCAAAAACCAACATGACACAAAATTCCCTCGCGTTTCGGGCCCGCCATTTTCTGGGCAAACGTTCGGAAGGCGGCTTCTTGTGGCGGCTCCCGGGGTTCTCGTGGCTCGTGCAGCTCGGGTAGCGGTTTTTGAAACTAAATTTTGACGTAAAAATCAATCTAGAGGACTCACCACTGGTTTCCGGGGCTTGATCTGCTCAAAATTGCCGAAACTCATAAATTCCGGGTCGTCGGTCATACTGTCCGGGGTGTCGGGCTCTATTTTGAAGCTCGAACTCGCCTCCATGTCTGCAAAAAAAACTAATAATAAATGCATAAAAGGTGGGAGATCAAGATATTACAAAAGTAGAGAAGATTAGAAATGCGAAGTGATTATTTAGCTGAAAATCATCCCCCGAAAACAGCAAAATAGCTTATTACTTTGCAAAAAACGCAAAAAAGAATAGTGAATTTGGATTGGTTTTGGACGGGTTTATCATCCGAATCGATAGACTCGCGTCCCCTCAAAGTTTAAAAAGCTACTACAAACTACAGCCGGCGCACGCCAACTACAGGCTACAAAGCAAAAGTTGTAACGCTGCACCAGTAGCTGCACAATAGCGTAATTTGCCTCTTTTGGGTACGAATTTTCCTAAGCACGACTAGTTTTTGATAACTAGCCGGTTTACAAGACGTTCTGCTCGATTTTTTTCCGGAAAAACCAATCTAATTCTACTTCACACCTCTTTTCTATCAAAACTCCGTCTTGCTCACAGTTAAAAAGCGCAAATCGTGAACTCGAGCTACTAAAGTACTGTAGCTCAAAGTTACGCTGTAATTCGGGTAGTTTTGTAGATATATTTGCAAAAGCGCCACGAAAATGTTATGGAATTGTTTATCGGGGTTAAAAGGGTGGCCAGCTGCACGACTCGCCTTGGGAAACCGATCGATATTTAAGCCGCGTGGAAGTGGGTTGGAAAGGGCGCAATGTTATGGGACGACGGATGGGGGGTCCGGGCTGCTCGGGGCCACAGCGCTAACATGGCGAATATTAAGGGTGTTAGTATAGGTAGATATTACACCAATATATCGGGTATCGGCCGACTTTCGCGCTTACATTACGTTGCGTAATTTTTAAGGTATTTCATTAACCGTTCTTCTTCGAGCCAGGCTGTCAAGAATTACACCGGAAAATAGGGAAAACGAGTTTTTTTAAATTATGCATGTAAAAACTTTAATAAGCAAAACTATAATTTTCCCTAAAAACTACAAGAAACCCCGACGGAATTTTTGCTGGTAAGTATTCTAAAAATTATACTGACCGCTATAGTCCGAAAATGGGAACGGCTTACTCATTGAGCGGGCTCGCCGGGGAATCAGCATCGATTTTTGGGGAAGAAAACGGGGGATTTTTGCTGAATTTAATCGCTGTACGTTTTTGAGAAGCGAAAAAAGAGTTAGAAACTCAAATTTGTTAAAATTAATGCAAAAACCACATGAAACGCTTCATCCGCTTCTTAAAGCTAATAGTTCCAAAGTTTTGGACAAGGAAAACTTATACAGTTTTTGTATATTCAGTTTTAGGCCCGAATTAATCTAGAAAAGCCTCAGAAATGGATATTTTCAAGATGTACCGGGATATCCAACTCACAAAGGTAGGTTTTAGAGTAAAAAATGAAAAATTTTTATGGATACCTCCTATCAAGGTCAAACCACAACACAAAAGCGCTAATCTAATATTTTAGTCACACAAGTCACAAACAAGGCTGTAAAACCGCAAACTACAAACTCCAGGCGCGGATCTGGCCCAATTAAGGCAACCACGTAAAATGAAAACTTATCATCCCAATGGTTGACTTGCTGAGGCTTTTACGAGCATTTTGATGCCACTTTCAACGAAATTGGCGCCAAAATTAAACTTGTTAAATTTGGAATGGTTGCTGGGGGTCGAACTAGGGTGCGCGCGCTCACATGCCCCCGGGCTATCGATCGGCGGTCGGCTAAACCTACGGGTCTCGCTCGGCTCACATTTTAGCCGTGGCGGGCGAACACCCCGTCGTGTTCCCATCGCAGCGCCCAATAATTGTCCCCGGCCATTAGTATAGCTGCCGCGTGCATACGCTCGGGCAGAAATATTCTGGAAAGCGGGGGGCCCGGAAATTGCCCTGATTTTGAGCGGGTTTGAAATTGGAAGGAAGCAGCCTTTAAAAATCGTAATTTAACACGCTCGAAATAGATTTTTAAATACGATCACGCAAAAATGATAGAAATCTCGAAATTCTGCTCCCCATTATCAATCCGAAAATCAAAAAGCAAAAAGTCTGGGCCGAACCGGGATTCGAACCCGGGACCTCTCGCACCCGAAGCGAGAATCATACCCCTAGACCATCCGGCCACTGGAAGCTTCGGCTGGAAAGGGGCCTAAAACACTCGCCGGCGCCGCCCTCGTCAAACAAATACACGAGCTGGGATTCAAATTGGTGTCTTATTCAAATAACCTTTTTTGCCTGCCTACTGCAAATAAACCACAAAAATAATTCCAGCGAAAAACCTTGTTAAATTTTGTGGTTTACAAGTCGTATATGCACAAAAAGGTGGCACTACTTTTTCCGAGCCAGTGGCGAAAGAGCAAAAAGTCTGGGCCGAACCGGGAATTGAACCCGGGACCTCTCGCACCCGAAGCGAGAATCATACCCCTAGACCATCCGGCCACGAGGGAGCGGGCGCCCGGGGGCCGATATATGGACAGGGCCGCGAATGTGGGGGAACGGTCTTCGTCCGCTCTCGGGTTTGAAGAAAGCGGCGTTCGTCGTGGAAAGCGATGCGGTAGGGCCGAGGAGGAAAGGGGAAAGTGATGTATCTTTTTGCCAATAATAGGCTCCTTTGGAATAAAAGGTAAAACGTAAGAAAAACGTAGCGAAGGTGTACAAAAAACTTTGCGGGCGACACAAATTCGGCGTATCACTATTTAGCTCCGAAGAGGAAGCTTCGCTGCAGATTAGAGCTTGGCTTACCGAATAAATTATGCAATGGTAGATCATATTACGTGATGTCATCAGTTTTAAAACCGTTGCTTTTTCTGTAGGTTTTCTGATGTTTTAACGCAAAATCGATGCGTTATTGCGCCATTTCCCGTAGATTTTGTTATATTTATTTCCGTTTTGTGGTAATTTAAGGTTTCCCATTTTTTGGTATATTTTTAATGCAATTAATGATGCTCACAACCGGAACACCCCGCGGACGCAAATTCCCTTTTTACCCCCGAACGTCCCCCGGCTAGCACGTACCCAAGTGTCCCATTCAGCCTCGTGGTCAACACCAGCAGTAAGGGCAGCAGGGGGGCCTGTTTACGCCAATCTTTTTCCTTTTTCTGGCCGGCCCAGGGGTTCCCCCGCGCTGCAAAAACAGAAAAATCGAAGGCCGAATGGGCGGGGCTTGCTTGGGGTGCCGTAAACAAGTCGGTGCATCTGGATTTCCACATTGCTATCTACTTACAACATTGACACCTTAAGGTACCCACGCTATCTGCAGTATTAACAATGCCGATCGTTCGTCCGCGTACCCGAAAAATTGCCACTACCACCACAACGAAGGCCGCCAAGTCGGTCAAGCCCGCCAAGTCACTCAAGACTGTCCCGAAAAAGTTGGGAGCTGCGCGAGTGCAGGTGGGCAAGTTAGCGCAGTTTTTTCGCGCGGTAATTGTTGGACTTAAAGGTGCTGAAAAGGCTAGATGATTTCCCGCAAGACCATTTGCTATCCTCCCAAACATCCCTTGTTTCAGCGTTTATTATTTTTTTTGTATTGTGTTTCTAGGGGGGTCGCTTCGAAGACACTAACGTATTGTTTGGATGAGTTGAATAATGATTTAAAAATAATTTTTTAACGTGGTCTAAAAAATTCTATTCCAGAGCTTCCTGTCGACCTGGATCGCTTCTTCCTAATTTCTAAGCATTTTCAGAATCCCAAGCCAACACCAACTGACAAAAATGCTGAACGCAAGCTCGTCCGCACTTTCCAGAAAACGGAAAAGAAAGCCACTGACAAAGCGAAGCCCAATCCTAAGAAAGAAGTGAAGAAGCCGAAGCCGAAGATTCTACGGGAGCACGCTCCGGGGATTCGGGTTTGCGATGATGTACCGGTTTTTGAGTGCTGTCCGGTGAAGGTAAGTGGATTTTTAAAATATGGTGGCATTATGGCATTAAAACGAATTTCTATTAGATTTTTAATACAATATTTTATTCCATTTTTGTTCAGCGATGAAATATTTTTAAGCCGAGCCGAACGGGTGAAAGCTCTAATTGAGCATTAAACGTTTCATAATGTTTTTCAATGTATTTTATAGTTTAACCGATAGTAAACATTTAGCTATAAAAGAAGAGTTTTAGCTTTTTCCATCGATAAATACAGTAGTAATAACTCCTCCCTTTGAAGGGCCCGATGGTGTCGGTGCTGGCAGACGACGTGGGCTCCTCGGCCTATTCCGTCATGCTCCAGTACGACGACACGCATAACCATCACAAGTACTATGCCATGCAGGCGCTCAGACTGCCCGACGCGAAATTCGGGTGAATATTTTGCGAAATTCGAGGCCCTGCAAAATATTTTCTGGCCCCACAAAAGTGCGGGTGTTCGCGGGGAAAAGGGCATAGCACTCGGCGGGCCAGCGCGGCTTAAAAGTGATGATTTCGGGGGCCGAGCTTCAGTTATTTTTGAGATTTTTTTCGTGGCTTTAATTTAAATACCTTAGAGTTAAATTTAAGAAATTAATTTAGCAATGATAGGCTTAAATAAATGTTATGCAGGTTATTTAATGCGTTGTTGAGCTATTATTTCTATCTAGAATGTTCTAATTAACCTTTCAGCTCGAATATATTACCCAAATAGGTTTAATTACAAAGCTTAATGTAATTAGACCTATATTCAATAATAAAATATCATTTTTTAATTTTTTTTAGCTGCCTTTTCTGGTGGGGACGCACAGGATACCCAGGCAGAAAAGCGCTCGTCAAGTCGTATGATAAGAAGAACATCATCAAGGTGTTTTTTTGGGACGAACTTTACCGTATTACGTTCCTTACTAATGCCCTATTTTAATTTTTTTTGGCTTTTTAGACCTTCTGCACAAAGTTCCACTCAAAAAGCGGCATTGACTGGGCTGACCGCAATTTGGGAGCTGTCCACGGAAAATATCGCATAGTTACGGTAACAAAAAACTAGGCAAAAATGATTTTTGGATTTTTTAGGCCGATCAATTCGGGAAATCACAATCCCCTGAAGAAAAAATGGACTCGCAGGATGAGCAGCAGCATACGGTAAATTCTAAAATGAGATTGAACGTTTTAGCCCGCAAAAAGTCGACTTCCCGCGGAGCTGAAAAGCTTTCTGGAGCTGATCACCGACCGGAAGATGTTTGCCGCTGGGATCAAGCAAATCGAGGAGCATTACGATAACTCGGAGGAGATGCCGATTGGTGACATGGCTGTTATAAAATAAAATCAACTTTTTTTTCAGGGAAATTAACCCCAGGACAGCTTGAGAAGGGGTATGAATGCTTGCGGAAAATTGAGGCGGAAATGGCAAAAGAGAATGTGGGTTTAAAAGAGTTTAAAGCGACAAAAGTGCCCAGAAAATTAGGGGTATTTACAACAACAAAAAATCCAGTTTAATCTGAAATTCCCCAGTTTTATAGCCTAATTTTTAGCCCTGCAAACTTACGCTTCAAGAAGCGAGTGACTGCTTCTACGAGCACATTCCACACAATTTCGGGTGCGTTTGAGAGATACAACATCCGTTTCACCATTAAGTTTAGTATATCGATATTTCTCTGTATTTAATAAACGATTTTTTTATAGGGATCAGGGCCCACCAGTGATCGATAACAGCGACCTGATCAAGGACAGGGCCCTACTTTTGAATACGCTCGCAGAGGTCCAAATCGCCCTCCGAAGAATGGAAGAAGCTGAAGCTACCGAGGTAGTAATCTCGCTTTCTTGCCTGTCTTACCAAATTACGGCTTTTACCAGATTGGGGCTATCCCATTACGCAATATATTTCAGGCAAATGGCATGACAAACCACATCGATGCTCTTTACAAGGCCGAAAAGCTGAAGTTGGAGGTGGTGCAGCCAGATTCCGAGGAATACAAAGTACCAAAAAAACGCTTAAGAAATTTTAGTTATTAACTTGGTCTTAGGTAATCGATCAATACCTCAACATGAACCACTCACCGGCACATGAATTTGACATGAGTATGGTGACACTACTGAAAGTGAAGAATCCGAAGGAAGCGCCTTATTATAAGGATTTGGGGAACAAGTAAGAGCAGCACTGCAAGGAAAGGTAGTCAGAAATTAAGGATGCTACTCTGGCACGGTTCGAGACTGCCTGCTGTTTTTGGGGTTCTTGCTCATGAGCTGCAAGTGGCACGTCCTGAGACACCAAATGATCGTGAGATTTTGGAAATTTGGATCAGATTATTTGACATTCCCTCTTCACTCTCGCACTCTCTCTTTCTCTTTCTCTCTCTCTTCTCTCTCTATCTTGCTTTCTCGCTCTACCTACCTATCAGCTCTCTCACTCACTCTCTCTCTCTCCCTCTGTCTCTCTCGCCCACAAAAAGTACACGACACCCATAATCCCTCCAAAATTCAGAAAAGGCTTCAGGCTTCATGTTCGGGCGGGGCCTCTATTTTGCCGACGCATCCTCCGAATCCGCCGTCTATTGCCATATTCCGCATTCTGGAGATGGTGTGTTGATGTTGGCTGAGGTTAGCTTCCATAGAATTTTATACTTTTAATTTTTTTAATTCCACCTAAAAACAAATTTCTTTAGGTTTCCCTCGGCAACCCCCTAGAAAAAGCCGGGCCCGATTTCAATGCTCGAGACCTTCCTGAAGGCAAAGATTCGGTTATCGGCAAGGGCCGAAAAGCTCCGGAGTGTGAAGAATTTGACGATGAGGATGGATATAAAATCATGTAAGCTTAAATAAAACAGATCATTTAGAGCTAATTTTTTAGGTTCGACGACGTCCGTGTCCCGATCGGACCTCTGAAAAAGGTCCCGGGAAGAAAAGGCAAGCTGCAGCTCAACGAGTATACCGTATATCACCCAAATCAGGTATAGAACTTCGGAAAACATGGCATTCAATTTGCAATTTTCAGGCCCGTATTCGCTACTTTGTTCGCGTGCACTTTGACCGGAGCACGAAATAAAACGCACGTATCTTTTTTTGCGGAAGTATCCGGTTTTTTTAAAAGTTCTTGATGTACATTAAATGCTGAATGTAAATAAGGGTTTTTTGAGCGAGAGTTTATTGTTGAAAAAGCACTAGAGGAAGCTAAATACGACAAAAAATAAATGTATTCAAGATTATGAAGTTTGATAGAAAAAGCAACACAAAATCGGGGATTAATTGAAATTGAATATTGCCGCAGTTCCTGAAAAATATTGCAGTTTAAGAGAATTGGGGACTCAAAGACCATCACGAAAATTATGATCTACAATTTCTATAGACGACCAGACATTTTTGTAAGCAGAACAATTGAAGAAAAACACACGGTGAAAAGTATGCGTATTACAGATCGCTCAAATCTACGGTGTTAGAAGGATTCGAGAGAGGAATGTTATTTGAGTTATTGCGCCAGGGGTTTAAAACATTAAAGCAGCTATGTCCAAAAAAATTTCGGGTCAATTGCAAGGCACAAATCAAAATGGTAAAAAGGTTTTAAAGCAGCATCATTAGATACAGATGACTTTGGGAGGGGGTGGAGTCACTACCCCGAAAAGTCACTACCCCGAAAGCCACTACCCCGAAAAGTCACTACCCCGGAAAGTCACTACCCCCGAAATAATTTGCATGATTTTCATAGGAAAACCGCATGAAAACTGGATTTTTCCGGGAAAAACAATGCTGTCATTTTTCGGGGTAAACGATTTCGGGGTAGTGACTTTTCGGGGTAATGACTTTTCGGGGTATTGACTTTCGGGGTATTGACTTTCGGGGTAGTGACTTTCGGGGTATTGACTTTCGGGGTAGTGACTTTCGGGGTAGTGACTTTTCGGGGTAATGACTTTCGGGGTAGTGACTTTCGGGGTAGTGACTTTTCGGGGTATTGACTTTCGGGGTATTGACTTTCGGGGTATTGACTTTCGGGGTAGTGACTTTCGGGGTAGTGACTTTTCGGGGTAATGACTTTTCGGGGTATTGACTTTCGGGGTATTGACTTTCGGGGTAGTGACTTTCGGGGTAGTGACTTTTCGGGGTAGTGACCGGACGCCCTTTGGGAGTGCCTAATATTGGTATCCGCCATCCCTCATCTGCATCCAGTTGTAGTTGTGCTGCTGCTGCTGCTGCTGCTGTTGATGTTGGACATGGAAAGCTAAAGTAAGAAATCTTTACGTGATTTTGGGCCAACCATCGTAAATTACGTATGACTAATGTAAAAACACGTCAACTCTTCCAGCGTAAGAACGGCGTGAAGCAATTACCCTGCTGGTTGGCATTAAAGTAATGCTCGGCTTGCAGGTTGTTTGGATTCGGGCGGAACGCGTGAGCCTGATTTTGCCAAGCTCCTAAAAGTAAAGTAAGCTTTTTTAGCTGTGATAAAATTTAGATAGATGGGATCATAAATTCATACCAGTCTGGTTGTAGCACGCATTTTGTTGCTGCTGCCGATAAACCGCCGACTGGTGCTGATTGGCTAAAAGAACTTGATGCTAAAATACACAGCAAAATACCGCCGTAACGGTCTGGCTGGTGAGTGAGCTGCTGGCCTAAAAATGACTGAAATCTAAACAAAGGCCCGATATACCGTAAAAGGGGCTCGGCTGTTGCGGCAGTGCTTGAGCAACACCTGAAAGAGAGCTGCTAAGGTTTTGAAAATTTCAGTACCGTAACTGGTATCGAACACTTGGCGCCGGACCATCGCGTTGGCTAAGGATTTCGATAAATAAAATCAGGGCGAAAAGATACCATTAAAATGTTGTTGGGTGTGTTGCGGAGCACAGTAGTTTTGGCTTGCTGCTGCTAAGGCAAATGAAATAGTGGGAAACAAGCACCATACTTTGACGTGGCTGCTGCTGAACTTGTTGATGTCGTTGTTGCTGTTGCTGTATCTGCGGCTGAACATGCTGGTGTCGCGGTGCTTCGTAACTTATGGCTGAGTTTTGGGTGACCGGTCGGCCTAGTTCAAGTTGAAAGAAATCAAGTTAAAAACCGACCCTGAATCTGACTCTGCGGCCAATGATGAAGCGGTGCACTTGCCGATTGCTGTCTAGCTGGGACTAAAGAGTACTTTGAGCCCAAAATTACCCTAGATACCTTTGCGTTTCGGCTCGTCCAAATCGAGGTTGACATTCAGACCATCAAAGTTGAGATCATTTTTGTTGAGGTCGAGAATGCCATGAAGGCGGAGATAGGCTTCGCTGACGTCTAGAAGACGTTGTTTTAAGAATCATTAAAGAGAATGAGAAGGTATAGTTATGGCTTTTGCTGCGAGTTTTTTAAAGAGCGCCACAGCGCCAAGGCATCTGCGTTGCGTGTCGCAGCTGCTAAAGATAATCGATCAAAACTCCATTTCCAAAAATCCTCATCGATTGATCGTCCCTTGAAATCACAACCTTTTCCAGGCCTGCTGTTGCCAAAGATGCTTGGTCGGGTGACAGGCTTGGTATAAGCTACAAGTATCGATACATGCTGTTAAATCTTGTTAATACCATTCACATGTTGAGCGACGGGTTGTTGGAAGAAAAAGAGTTGGTTAGTGGCTGGACAAGAACAATTTACAATTCTGACATTTTTCTACCTGGAGCTACGTATTGATAAGTTGGCTGTTGTTGTTGTTGTTTGATTGGTTGTCTTCTTACTAAATAGTCAAATTTGAGACCTATAGGTCATAAAAGTATCGTTTGATACCGTTAACAGGTGCTCGCCGGGTGTAGGGGCGCTTCTTCCGCGGCTCCATTGGCTCTCCCTGGACCCCGCCCCGGCGCATGAATGGATCCTGGGGTGCGACAACTTCACGCACGGGACCACTAAATTTTTAGGGGCAGGTTAGGATATTGATGTTAATGTTTTTTGGCTATTTCTAAGCGATCTTATCTCTTTTAGCCCGACCGAGTTTTTTGCAAGCATCCCGAACCGATCAATGCAAAAATTAACGGTATTAACGGTAATTAACGGTACCTAAGTAATGCATGGGTTCACCAAAACCTGCAGCCTAATTAAATACACTTTTGTGAATTAAAGAATTCGCAAAATTCACCCTTTCATGCATCGCTTTGGAGACTTGAGGCGTTGCGGACCAGGCGGACGTCCAAGCCTCCGCGGTGGTTCGGCTAAAAAGCTAGTGATAACAGTCAATGGATAGGTAGCCTTAGTACTCTGCTGGCACTATCCTTAAAAAACTATAACCGCTTTAAATCGTGAACTTTCATCAGATACAGCGATCACGCAAATAAAAAAATTGGTCCTGCCTTTCCAGTCCCTTTAAAACAGAAATATATTATGAGAATCTAAGGCCGTCCCAAAACGGCGCTTAAAACTTTTTTTGGCACGACTATAGGAAGTGTACAACCCAATTACGTTTATAGATGATCAGCTCGGGGTTGGCCGCCCACTCATTCCACATCTGAACCATCGAACGTGCTGCAGTTTGCTGCACGGCATCGCAATGGCTAGCTGAAACGCACTTCGAGATCAGCAAAAGTTTGATACCTTCAACGTTCGGCTCGTCTTTTGGATCAGTGGTCGTCATCGCATTGATGTCGTCGATCAACCCGTCCAGGTCGAGATTCAGCCCATTGCTGACCACCGGCGGGGCCTAGGGAAAGCAGGTTCGAGGTAGAAAGTTCCGCTTTGGTACCTGTGACGGACGCTCGGCTGGCGCGGATAAGAATGGGCAATCGTAGAAGCCGTTTGCCTGGTAGGAGGGCATGGCTAAAACGACAAGTCAAAGAGTCGTCAAAATAGATTAAAGACAATTGTCTTCAATTTAGGTTTAAGAAAACAGTACTATTATAGCAGCCTGATGCTATCGAAATTGCAACGAACTAAATGCACGATAGCGTACTGTAATTGCAAAACGATGGGGCGGGGTAGTGATATCATTCCATTCTAGTGTCATAATGTCCGATTCAGACGCCAATCGATAAGAAAAACACGATGAAGGCCCGGAGCAATGGGAGTGTGGTATGAGGGACTGGGGGTAGGACCGTCGGGCTCGCGGCTCAATTTTTGTTTTTAAAACATCCCGTGGGGTACCCGCCCGCCCCTGGGCGATGCCATCATCCTCTGATTTCAATATGCAAAAATCGATAAGTGACTCTTTGTCTAAGCAGAATTGCTAGAAAATTTGACCTTGAGGTGCCCCGGGAGGGCCATAAGGTGGAGGAGAAGCTGAGTCACCATTCAGAATTCATTAACTGTCTGCTATATGCGGTGAGGGGTATCGATTTGACGATTGGAGGAAACTAAAAAGATCAGCCTAAGCTTAGAAAAACAAGCGCTTTTAATAGATGCTCTGGTATACGCAAAATTTGTAAGATGCAAAATTCTAAGACCGCAAGTAAATGATGAAAAATCGTTCCAGACGCTTTTTCGGCCGCTTTAGAAGCTCTACTTTGCTGAAAATGCTGTGCCCTTTTGAGGTGACATTTAATAAAGTTTTCAAAGTGATCGATTGCTTACAAGCTAGATAAAAATGCAAAAAAGGACCCGCGCTAAAAATCAAAAGTAAGGTTTCATCGGGTTTTTAGACCATTTCCCCGGCCTGAATAGCTGCAGGGGGGCGGAATACAAATCGGCGAATACCCAGAGAGTTAATAAAGTTATTTCGAGCCACGCTACGGGTCAACGATCAATATGATTGAAAGCTTAAGAAAATCTGTCACAGTCCCAAATTTGTGAGGAGCCGCGACACCATCCCCCGGAAAACATGAGGGTAAACTATCTGCGTGTGGCCGGGCCCAAATGTGGTGGATCAGCCCCTCCCCACCCAGCAGCCATCGATTTCCGGAGTGCGCGCTGGTTCGAGAAAATGGTATCGCCGGGGAGGACCATCTGTTTTTTTTTGAGGCGGCCAAGTGGGGGAGGAGGGCCATGATCGTTGGGCTTGATTGCGCCAGAGTTCGATCGATCCGGAGAAATCTAGCTTCAGAACAAAATTCGAGTCGAATTCAAAATAGAACCTCTATCAGGAGCATCAATTTGCCAAAAAATCAACTCGACGAAGAGCCATTTCACCGAAAATCTACTGATTTATCGTCAATTTTCCGGTAATTCTGGTGCCCCTCCAAACCACAACGCAAAGAAGTAAGCTACGATTTTGTCTTTTCACATCTTTCGGCCCTTCTCTTTGGCCTAGGGATTTTTGGCGAAGTAATTTTCGGAAAGTATCGGAAAAAATTAACTCTGTGTTGGCACGCGCGCTTCATACAAGCCTACTTTAATCACAGAGTCCTGAAAATTGCTCGTGATTTTTTGAGAAAATTCGACTGGCGACCGAGATCAGGCTCGGCATGACAGCGTTTTTCCTGCGCTTTGTACTGAAGGTTTCTGAGTTGTTGTAGTCGACCGGCCCTTGAAAAAGCTTTCTAAACTAATACAAATTTTATGACCCGGGGTTGATACACCTCGTCCGCTGTAAAAACTGTCAAAAAAAAGGTTTGATGTCAGTTTCATCGCGTAATGGGTCTAATTTTTTCAATTTTTGCGTGTGCTGTATCTAGCTTCGTTTTTCATAGACGTTTCACAACGATTTATTCAGGATACGATGGCTATTATTATGCGCAGAAAAAAAAGAGGGGACCCGTAGCATCACAATAAGCATAGAGAGAAAAGTAGGGGGAGCACAGAAAATGGAGAACCAATAATGCCATAGGTCGACTAGAATCACGAAGAAAACAGTATGCGACAAAACCAGGTGGGGTGGGGGGAGAAGGCACATGCGGGATATCACAGCTGTGATTATGGGTGGAGCAGAATCTGGGGTGGTGGGATAAAGCTTTGCGGTCGATGTGTTGTGGAGTTATGGCATTTTGCAAGGGATGAGCTTCTGGTGTCGTGACGGCTGTAGAAGACTTGAATCGATGAAGTTGATCTGAATAGTAGGAGCATAAGCTGTGGGCTTAGGCTTAAGTTTAGGCTACGATGAAGCCTAGGCTTAGGCTTAGGCTTAGCTTATGCTTAGTATCAGTGCCGATTTCGGCTCGGCTTTGGCTTAGACTTTTTAAGCTGGGCTTACATGTAGAGGTTGTGGGGTCACAGACTCCAAAACAGCTCAAAATTGGTGGAAAAATCAAATAAAATACGGGGAACACGATGCGATAAAAATTAGCTGCCAATGGGCACTTTTCTTTAATAAACTTTGAATTTTAAGATTTTGTATGGAAAACGACCTAGAATCGCGACCTGGGCCGCCAAAACCGTACGGCGGGGGGAGAAGTCCTTGAAGTCTTCCCAAGAGCCCCTTCCCGTCGGTTCGGTGGTGTAGGGGTAGGGTGCACGGGTGACAGGCTAGGGGTCGAAGGTTCGGATCCCGTCGTTATTTTTAATTTTTGCTTTTTGCTGCTTTCGCTTTTATTTTGCAGGAAGAGTGTCCAGAAGGGTTTTCGAAAGTTTTTCGGTCTTATTAATCCCAAGGAGGTGCCTGGCCAGAAAAATAAAATTTCGAAAATTTTGGAATTTTTTGGAAAAAAGGCCTATCTACCTATTCCAGCTCGATGAAAACCAACCGAATAGTCAATAAATATTATTTTTGAACCGATATGGTAAAAATAGAATTATTCCGGCAATCTGAAATACCTCGGGGCTCCGATTTGAAGCGCCTAGGGGTGAGAGCCACCCATTTTAAGCAGCGTCCGACCCTCCCAGGATCTGGGGCTATGGGATAGGTCGTCAAAATTTTCGTGAAAAAATATTTTCTAGATAAAATTTTCTTTGGGTCCGGAAAGATGTCTAGTGCCGTGGCGGCTATGAAAATTCCTTCAAAACATTTTTTTCCCAGCCGCAAGGCGCGATAGAGCAGTTAAAGGTGCATTTCAGCAGCCCTTTTTTGCTGAAAATTAAAAGTTTATTAAAGAAAAGTGCCCATTGGCAGCTAATTTTTATCGCATCGTGTTCCCCGTATTTTATTTGATTTTTCCACCAATTATGGGCCGATTTGGACTCTGTGACCCCGCAACCTCTACATGTTAGGTTTGCCATCGGGACTTAGGCGCAGACTTGGGCTTTGGCTTGGGCTCAAGCTTAGTTTCATACATTTCCATACCTACCTATCGACTACTATACGGGGCGCTGATGACCACATGCGGCAACAGCTTCTTCAACCCGAGCTGCTCGACGACGTGCGGAATCCTGGACTCGAAGAAGCGCAGCTGCGCGTCGGCATCGCCAATTTGGTACGGTAGGCAGACGAGAATGACGTTGATCTGAAGATCAGGGTTAAGCGGACAATTTCATGAAATGTTCACCTCATAATTCATGTGCAGCGTGGCGCAGGTCGGGAAGTGGCTGGCGAACTGCTTGGAGACCTGGAAAAATGTGTGGTTTCAGGCAAGGGATTGCAATTTCATTTTTAGAAAAAATTTGGGCAAAATTTACCTCAGCAATGTTTGCGGCATTTTCGTGCAGGTCGAGGATGTTGACGATGAGTAATCCTGAAAACCAGAGTCGAAGCTGCTCAAAAATGGCAATTGTCTCTCTGACTCTCTTTCTCTCTCTCTCGCTCTCTCTCTCTCTCTCTTTTTCTTCAACTCACCCTGATCCTTGACCACCTTCCGCACGTCGGCCATGAAGACGTCGTTGAGGAAGACGTGCGCCGGACACGGGATAATCTGACTACCATCACAAGCGTCGATCAGGACGACGTCCCAGGCCTCTCCTAAGAATCAGGATTCATATTTGAAAGGGCCAGTGAAGGCAAATTTTAGGCAAGTTTCTTTTCCTCACCCCGTCTCGCCGCGTTTTCGACAAAAACAATCCCATCTGCTGCGTGCACATGGAGGAGTGGGCTTTGCTTGAAGCCGAACCACCTAGAAACGTTCATAAACTTTCCATTTTGTCGTACTTGTCGGCCAAGTAGATGACCGTCTCGTCGAGCTCGACGGAGGTGATGTTCAGATTGGGGCGGTGGTGACGCATGAAGCCGGCGTAGGTGCCGCCGCCCAGGCCGATCTCAAGGAGGGAGCGTTTCTCCTTTCTAAAGTTGTAGTTGTAATGGTTCGGGTTTATACGCTGGTTTAGAAAAGGATAAGTAGGTTAGAAACCAACTTATCGTCCATTTTAAAGGTCCCGAACACGAATGGGGCGATGGCAAGCGCGGCGACGTATTGGGCGGTGATCTGGGTGTGGTCGATTTGCCAGAAGCGGCTGTCCGAGCTGCTGAATATTTCGGCTGAAGAATTGGTATTTTTTTAGGATGATTTTGGATACCTAGAGACGAGGTGCCAGCAGGTGGTATGATGCGAATCGACGAGTCGCTCTCATCTTCGAAGCCCTGCATGAAGAGGCAGCGCTCTGCATAGGAGCCGAGGTTGCTGAAAATCAAACAAAAATAAGATTTTCGGTATATTTTGATGCCGTAATCGGATCAAAATTGGCTGCATGAAGTCAACAACTTTTGGAAAAGAACTTCTAATACGCTTTCCTTTGACCTCATTTGACTTTTAGGGCTGTAAAGTGTACCAAAATGTAGCTCTTGAACTGCGGAATCAGAAAATCATTTAACCTCGCCTTTCAATATATTTTGGCGCCGTAAACGGTTAGACTCGCTTAGGTTAACGAATGCGGAGCGAAAAACCTCTGTATCTAGCCTCCCTTTCGACCTATGAGGCGGTTAAATATACCAAAATGTAGCTCTTGATCTAGAGAACAAGTTATGATTAATATTAAAATTATATCAAATTGGAAACCTCAAAATTTGAGCTGAACCCACTCCTCAATCAACCGGTCCACCACCCTCCAGCAACGTCCCGTCGTCTTCGAGCACTGCTCCTCGATGGTCGACTGGCGGAGGCCGAGCTAAAAAAATGATCAAATACTGTGTAGCAATACTATTTTAAATAATAAATAAATACTAAATCTTAAAAACGATAAATCAAAAATCAATACCTGGTTTTCCACGGCATCCCTCGACGCAATATCCTCCACCTGGTAGTCGATCTCAACGCCCTCCATCAGCCACCAATAGGCCTAGAAAATCAAATTTTATTGTTATAAAAAATTAAAGGACCTGGGAAGTCAAAACCTGATGAATTTTATCCATCTTCGATGGAAACCGGATTTTGACTTCTCAAACCCTTTAACAATTCTTCCATCAAGACCAACACCGAAACCAAGGGCCCTCTCCCAAGTTAAAACCGGGGCTACAGAAAGCCAACATATACCTTCAAAAAATAGATTCGGGGTGGGTATAAATAAAAAATGGGGGCCCGGTTAAATTTTGTGCGTAATGGCACCTCAAGGCTAAAGTACAACTTATAAGAATCTCTTTAAAGCATTTTTTTTAAAAGATTCTGCTTGCAACAGCAAAATACAAAAAAAAACCCATTTAAACCGATCCTTATGGGGTACCATTTTCCAACCTTTAGATAAGAATCGATTAGCATGTCGCTGTCGTACTGAATTAAGAATTCCCAACAATTTTCTAAGACCATTTTTACCAATCCATAGACGCCCAGACAGCACAAGATGATCCCGATGAAGATGCGGTCGTAGCGCCATCTCTAAAGATTCGGATCTAACGGATTTTAGATGTAGCTTAAAATTTAAAGCACTTACAATCTTCACCTTATTTTATCAAAAAGGCAGCTAATATATTTTAGAAAAATAATATGGAATAACCCCAAGGAATCGCGGGAGCTTGACTCGCTGCGGACTGCGCCTGGGGCTGTGGTCCACTGGAAAAAGCGGAAAATCTCGAATTCGTTAAAACAAGACGTTAAAACACCTAATTCTATTGCTAGATAATTACTAAATAAAATTAATATGTATTAACGGCATTTTACGAAGCCAGGAAGAATTTAGAAACAACGTTTCGAGCTTCAAGAGTCTAAATCGAGCAAAAAAAAACGTTATAAACAGCTGCATAAATAGCTCCAAATATACGTAACGTAAGTAGCATATTGAACGCTTAATAAAAATAATATGTCACGCTTTAAACTTACTGATCCCTGGCGTCGAGTGGCTTTCACGGTCGACGTGCCGAATGCTGGAAGCCCGGAGACCATCCAGTTTTTCGAGCTTCTGCAAATTTGCCATATTTAAATTTTCTATGTTATTCTTATTACGAATGCAGAATGATACTTCAAAAAACGGGCTTTCAAAGATCGATGTATTCTAATTGGATCAGCCGGTGGGAGACACAACACGCGCTATTATTCACCACAGAATGTAGTTTGTAGCCACCCGGGATGGGGCAGGTGTTCCTAGCACGTGTGGAGACCAATTTGTATCTCCAAAAACTACCGAAATTTGAGGCTATATTAGGTGAAAGTTGCAAACTAGGACTAATATAAATTACGAACCTTTTTTTCGGAACCCGGATCCGGTTTACTAAATTTGATCGCAAGTCAAGTTAGTTAGACAAATTTTAACCCAGAAAAAAGCAGCAGGCCCTAATAAATGGATTAAAGCAAGTGGGAAACGTAATCCTACTATATATAAAAAAATAGTGTTTGTGTGTGTGTGTGTGCATTTGCATGCAACTTCCGTCAGGGTGTCCGGAGGATATCTCAAGGAGGCAAGGGTATTAGGCTGCGTATGATACGTCATTAGGTGCGTAATGAAGCCGAGATGACTGCACGCATATCAGATTTTGCAAATTATGCTATTTTCGACATTAAAAATCAATTTTTGTATAAAAATCAGGCAGCCTCTTTGTTAGCAATTAATTAGCATAAGCCGGAAGTGGCGGCAGTCTATATAACGGCGGAAAGGGTGCATTTTCAATTATTTCTCATCGAATTTGTCCGACTTATGCAAAGGGAGGAATATCATGGGATCAGACGGGGCCAGGTTTGAAAAGTCGCGAAGCGGCTTTTCAACCCTGGTTAGTGTATAAAATGCATACGTATGCACTAGGAAAGTACGAAAAGTAAAGAAATGCAGTCCAATATAACGTGGGAAATATCGGAAAATTCCAAAAAATCGAATCCCTGGTCCAGTGTCTAGACGTCTATTGTCATCTTTTAGCCTTAAAAATGATTTCTTATTTTTGTAGTAGATTAACTGCTTTCGAACGGTATGAATTAAGTATTAAAAACCTTTATTCATAAGTTTAGTATTTTTATTTTTAATTATAGTGATTACGATAGTGACGAATCATTGCTGTTTGGCAGGCTGCCAATAACCACATGAACTGTCTGACCATTGACAATATACACGGCCGACCACATTATGTAGTACGGTCTAAAGAAAGCTACTTTCAAAGTATGTAATAACCAACCTTCCATGATGCACACTGTTGTACCGTAGCCCAACCCTCAAGACCACTTGGCTATGGGGGGTGCAGTTTAACCAATCGCGAATGTGATTCTCGTTTGCGAACCTGAAAAATTCGGAATAAGCTCATCAAGTTTTTATGGTATTTTTGCCTTTCCTTTCAACTATCGTATCGTATTGTTCAAGTATCGTATTCTTCGCGCAAGACATAAGGCATGCATGTACATTAAAAAACATCATAAAATCTCATGCCTTCCTTACCAACTATCCATAATCCATTTGGCATGCCGATTTGCGTTGTTTGCAGCGGCTTGAGGCATGTAGTTGATCAAGTGGTTCGAGCCGCCCAGCGTATTAGCTAGTAGATGGCCAGCCTCATCCCCGCGCTGTCGTCCAAGTTTGTTTCCATGCGTATACTTCACGGAGCTCGGGAAGTTGCCGTCGCGGGGGCGAACGTCTTCAGGTCGGATTGTTACCTTCAAAACTATCATATTCGGGTAGGGCACATGAAGAGAGCGAGCAGAGGTGCGTAGCGTAGCAAAGGGTACGACTACGTGTGAGTCCTCTGCGCGCTGTTATCATTTGCACTGGCTCAGGGCCGTAACAAACCCAAATTTCGGGGGGGGGGGCGACCCCAAAAATTGTTCACTAATATGACTAAAACTACAGCGCCGCAGGCAAAATTTTTGAAAACATAGAGTTTATAACACTAAAACTAGTGTTAAAAATAGCCAAAAACAGCGCCGCAGGCAAAAAATTTTTTGGAAAAATTAAATCATAAGGGTCCCCCCTTATGAACTTTTCGGCCTTCGGCCGATTTCGGGGGGCGGCTCGCCCCCTCGCCCCCCTCTTACGGGCCTGCACTGGCTACTGATGTCTAGCGTGTATTGCGTAATTTTAATCGGCATTTTTTTGGTATCAAAGAAACTCTTTTTTAATTACCTGCATATACTCCGTACGATCCGCCCAGACCGTACCATTCCAAAAATTGCGCACCACGTAATAACCGGATTGCTGGGGATGATAGGCCCCGACTTCTTGAGCGTTCCATGGCACCTAGACGTTGAACATCAATATGAGAATCGCATTTTTAGCTTTAAAGTCAATGCGTGTAACTATTAAAGGATAAAAGTCATAGCCTAAAAACTTACCATCCTAACCCTTGGCTCTTGCTGTAACAAATCACCATAATGCTGCATAAAATCCCCAAATGTCGCCACGGACGCCAGGATGCCCAAGCAAATTTCGGTCAGGGTTATGGGCCCAAAAATATGGTCCGAGGCTGCTCCTCGCTTTCGCAGCTCGGTGTGCCCAATTTTTGAGTGCTTTCCATGCTCCTTCCAGTGCGTTATGTAGACGCCGGGTTTTAGGCTGTCCAAGCATCTTTCGACCCTGAAATATAAGCTTTACCTGTTATATAGCGCTTCAATTCGATTGTCCAAATTTAGTGAAAGCTCCCAAAGGGAAACGACCTACTTTTTCATTTTTAGGTAGTGCCCGGGATTCATATGAGATACCCCTGATGCGGAGACCCAGAGAAATGCGAACAAACAATAAAAAATTGGCTTCATTAGAGTGGCGGTGCTTCTTGGAAGCGTTCCCAAAGAATGAATTGGTCCAAATCAACAAAAATTTGCTTATAAACGTTCGTTTTCTCGATAAGGTTCGTACTTTTTTTTCCTAAAAATAGGCCCTGAGTGATTTTCCTGGCCCAAAATAGGCACCTTGACGGGGGTCAGCCGTCATTTTTTTTTGATCAGTGCTGATAACTCGGCGCGTGTCAGTGAGTTTTGGTCAGGAATTGACCGTGTTATCAGAATAGGGGGTTGACCTGTCACTATGAGCTTCTGCCTGGATCAAAGATCAGCTGAATGTGGCTATTCTTGTGTTTTTGTCTTTGAAAACAGTCCTGCTTTGAAAAAGCTCATATATCTCTCTAACCCTCACTCTCTGCCTTTCTCTCTCTATCACTCACTCTCTCCCTTTCTCCCACACACTTTCTTCGCTATATTTGCTCCTCTCGTGGGCTTTGCTTATGATGTCTTTACAATTTTCATTAATGAGGTAGTATTTATACAATTTTCAATCTCGTTCAATTGATCAGTATTTGCACAACTAGAAATACTGCAGTAACCTGTCGTCGCACTACCAGTAAAGATGTCTAAGATAAGGTATAAACCTATAAAAGTATTATTTCTTACGGATGGTCCTCCCTCTCCCGCGATGGATCGAATTCCGGCCCACTACTATCTGCATTCGACTTTTCGCTTGGGATTCTATGAAAGTTCTTTTTGGCCTTTTTGGACAGTAATGGTTGGTTAGCGGCAAGGCTAGAAAGTGTTAGTATTAACAAAGTCGCGTACTTCACATACGAATGCATCTTCGGGCGTTCGGGTTTCACTTTTTCGTTATTGCCCGTTTTTGGGACCTCGATTTTTAGGTGGCGATTTTTCCAGAATAAATCATCGTCACCGCCCTTTGCTGGAAAATATTTTTTAATAAAATTGCGTTTTTTGCCTTTAAAGGGTTTGCGAAGCCAAAAACTATAGTCTAAAACTTACGCCTCTCCGTATTTTGGAGCTTGTGCACAATCGCAAAAGACACGGCAATATTTCGATCTAAAATCCAGTGCAATTCAATATCATCATCCCCATGCCCAAATGGACGCATCAGTTCGTGAGCCACCTGCACGAAAATGACGTTATTAGGTGTATTTCGTAGTTTTGTACCTTCAACCAACCGACGATGAAGAGGAACTCGATGACCAAGAATAAGGGGAAGGTCAATTCTGCCTAAAAACAGTTCCTATCTATAAAAAGCCAAAATTTCAACATTTAAATATACTTTAAATGCAGCTTAAAATTACCCCTTCATCAGAAAATTGACGACCGAATAGCGAAAAGAAGAAATAGGAATATGTAGCCAGAACGGCTATCTGGAACGCTTTTTGTTACGGTAATGACATTTCTAAGAGTTACCTGAGTATAAACCAACGGTACGCACACCCAATCATAACAAAATAAGTTGCGGAAGGATTGTCGATACGTGTTAAGTTCTACAAAAATATAATGTAATTAAAAAAACCATACTTGATAGGAAATCGCCCACAAATTTCGTGTTGTCCGGGCCGTCCTAAAATGATAAAAAGTAAGGTAACCACGTCCAAAACTTCATATATTTCTAATTTTTATTCATTGCCTAAAAACCTGGATTTTAGCTAAGCCCGTGATGTTAGTGATAAAAACCTAAAAAAGTGCCAATAACCCCCCAATTAGTATTCATTTCGCCTAAGGAAAGAAAAGCAAGGGTTAGGGCTAGCCAAAACTTTTTTGATGTCGTCAGGACAGACCCCATTTGATGCACGGTTTCTCTGAAAGATGCAGAAAACTTTAGTAAAAATTACTCAGCTTTATATCAACCAATTAATTGATGAAAGAAGGTAGGGAATATGAACAAATCGTGACAAGGACCCCTTACGTCCAACGTCTCCTGGCAAATCTTCTGGGTCCAATGCAACGGAGCCATCCAACGAACGGACGGGCAGGAATGCTAAAATTTCAATAGCCAAGTAGTCGATCTCTCTATACGCATCGTTGAAACTACAAGCTGCAAAGTACAAGTAGTACAAACCCGGATATCATCCAGTGCGTTCAGCTCATTTTCCGTCAACAACCCGCCCTCGACAAGGTCTCGCATCTTCGGGTACTTAGAGCGGATTTGGCTTGATACCTCGCGCCTAAAACGGCAATGAGATACCCTATGTAACGTACCAAGCCAATGCTGCCGTTAAATTAATATAACGGGCGATAGTATGGCGGCGTTTCTGGCTTTTCTCATCGTTCCCTGGCAGCATCATGCACAGCGCTGACATCATGTCCTCAGGCCATTCCAAGCATTTGAATTGGCCCCACCATCTAAAATAACTTATCGTTTGAACATTACGGCTTTACAGTGCTATTGTAGCGACGTTAAAAAAAGGTTTATCTAAAAGCTATCTCTAAAGACTTACCGACTGACCATGTTCGACACGTAAAAACCCAGCAAAAACGTCAATGGTAATCCCCTCGTATAGGTCTCGAAACTAACGCATACCGACCGGAAATAGTTTCTAAAAATGTTTTTAGATTTATAGTGCCCTAATACGTAGGAAAATAAAAGAAATATATAGCTTCCGAATGCCAAAATTTGGGCCTACTTGGCTGCGTCAACTTGATTTTGATCCTGGACCAAGATTTCGATCCCGTATTCGTAAAACAGCCTAGAACATGGGGGATTTTTGTCAGTTCCATTAAAACCTACTTAATGCCATAAAACAGTGACAAATATACGATCAACTCTTTGTAGGTGGTCCGCCATATCGATCCCTTCCACCGGACCAATAAACGGAAAAAGTTTCCAGAGTAGGAGATTGTCATGGTGCGCTAAACAAAGATAATAACATACTTATTTTATCAAAATTCGACCAAAACAAGCGAAAAACGCGAAGATAAAACCAAACGCAAACAAAAACCCACCAAAAACATGGAAAACCAAAAAAAACGTAAACAAACGCGCTCAAGTGGAAGATTGGCAATTCGCGTGTCCGGCAAAGAGCAAAACAAGTTTTTTTTATGACAAATTGTGAACAATATATAAATTTTGGATCTATACAAAAATTTACGAGCCTCTAAAATTTTGTATATAAAGGTAAAAAATGATTAACTGTAGAAAATTGCTGAAAATTTTGTAGTAGCCCAATTTTAGCTTGAAAATCTTAAAACCGAGCTAACTAGCGCCAATAACAGATTCTTATCGAGACATCTGAATCCAGAAGCTTAGATAGAGCTTATAGACATGGCGTCTGAGGGTGCGTTTGTGGAAAATATTTACATTTCCTTGAGCATCGGGACACCCTCTCTCTTGCCCTTTTGCCCTTGTCCAGTCCCTGCCCCCCCCCTTGCAAACATGACCACAAGGGGGGCAGCTGCTCCCGCCCCTCTTTCCTTTTACTCGTAAATAACCGCATTCGGCTTCTGGCCAATGACCAAAAAAAGGCTAGGGCGTGAAAAGTACAGGGTGTCCCAATAAAAAAGGTCACGCTGGCATCTTGCTATTTCAAATCCGACCGACTTGAAATTTTGCACAAAGGTGCGGAAGGGAATTTAAAATGTTCACAGAAACTTTCAGCACGATCGGTACAGTAGTTTTCCAGTTATAGTAAAAATACTGTTTTTCCCACACTTTAGCTTTATTTTTTCGGCTATTTTTTTGGACTTTGCATCAATTAACATAAATTTCCGGCTTTTAATCCCTTATGCTACTTAACATCGGCGTCGTTAGCCCTTGTTAAAAAAATACTTAAATAGCCTATTTTCGACCCGAATTTTGCGAAATAAAAAAATTCCTAGGATAAAAACGGGTCGCCGCTTGATTTTTGCGATACATTCCAAGACTCAATTCCGGCGGAATCCAGGTGAAAAACTCAAAATAAAGCTTATTTTTGTAATAACTCGAAAACTACTGTACCGATCGGGCTGAAAGTTTCTGTGAACATTTTGAGTGTTGAGTTTCTGTGAACATTTTGAGTTTTTTGAGTTTCTGTGCAAAATTTCAAGTTGATCGGATTTGAAATAGCAAAATGCCAGCGTGACTTTTTTTATTGGGACACCCTGTATTTCTAAGGCCTAGACTATACAGGGTCTCCCATAAAAAGCACCCCTCCCTCCTTTCGCCATATTATATCCGGCCGGTCCCCAAAATGGACCAGAGGCGCATCATACCCTAAATAACCACAATCCTGTCTTACAGCCTCATAACTATGGCAGTTTCCGAGATAAAACAAAATAAGCTTTATGATCCGTTTTTCATCAGGTTTTCATCGGAATCGACCCTTCGGATATTACGTAAAAATGACGCGGCAAGCGTTCTTTCCACGTAGAATTTTTTTCCTGATAAATATTAATCAAATAACCGTTGATTTCAACAATTTTTGTCACCGAATTTCACCCCCAATATAAAACAAAATTAGGGATTCGCGGCCGGAATTCGATGCAAATCGATGCCACGTAAAAAAAGAAGCCGAAAAACTGTTAAGAATCGCGAAAAAAATAGTATTTTGGCTATAACTCCAAAACTAATGTAGTCATCGGGCTATAACTTAAGATTGTGGTTTTAGGGCTTGATAACCTATATGGATCAATATGGATAATTGGATAACCGATAGAGAACTGGATTTAGATAATATTTAATGAATTTATTGAAAAACGAAGAAGCATCACACTTTGCTGACGGAAACCATTGGGCTATACAGCCAGCATGCTTGATTACCAGTTAAGGTGCCTAAAAGATCTAATTCTGCCAGGATGAAACGATGATACCTATGCGAATCGTTGTCATCCGACATTGTGTCGCGCCCTTTATGTCCTCCGTGAGGAATTCTAAACCACTAATTTTTATTTCTCGAGCGTTACAATGGACCTCAGATACGTGTGAAGCTTCGGGCTCC